CGAACATTCTGGATATCTGAAATTAAAAGCCCAATAGACGTGAATGGCAAAAGTGACGTAATTTCTCCTAGGAAGAATGACGATGTGGATATCTGAAAAGACAATTGTGGATATCTGAAATGTTGTTTTTGACTAGGAAGAATTCAATTAGAGATTTGCAATACATATCCAGTATAGCGATTAAATGTTAAAACGGCTTGCCATAGCCCAGTGATTCTGAATTTTCACCCGGACTTAAAATTGGAGCGTATAAATCAAGACTTTTTTTAATTTGACTTCCCACTGTTGCCCCAGGCTTGCTCTCTGTGGGCATTTGAGACAATGTAATATTGTGAAAATGCACTATACAAATAAAATTGAATTGAAATGTAATTCTCTATAGAGCTTTGACCAGTGACACCCAACTATTGCCAACATAACTCATTGAATTAATGGAATACATAAAGAAAACTTAAAGGAACTTATTTCATTATCATCAGAATTACTTTTATTTATAAAATCCTTTATTATATAACATATTGCATTATTTAGCAGATGTTCTTGTTCGAAGCTACATGGAAATGAGGAAAGCCTGGGCTCATAGAGTCCCTGCCGCAATTTTGAAATTATTAGTCTGTCCGATGACGTGAAAATAAACGATAAGCACTAAAACATAGATACCCGAGTGCATACTCAGTAGGGTGGGGTGAAAAATCAAAATTTCCAATAGTACGGAAAAGTTGTCACTAGACCTCCTTATTAAACGTGCAAAATATTTTTCAAATAGTTTTCACCTGTGACATCAATGGGCAATATACACTATGCATTATCTATACTCATCGGTGTTGTGTTTGTGCACTTTCACAACATGATAATCACTACAAAATACCAACGTTCAGGTTTACTGGGCATCAGCCATACACATACATTACATCGCTCTGCGGCTCTTCGGGCATTACGAAGTGTTGGGCAAGCTACTTGTAAAGTGTAGTGAGCTAAGCTATCAGTTACTCAACAATAAATTAAGCTTCACTACACAAAAGCTACCACCCATAGAAATATAGGAAGCTAAGTAACACAAATATGGCAAAAGTAGTTTACTACATCAGAAGCTACTTCACGTTGTACCAACCTAATGCCAGATCAGTGCAAAATGACAGTCAGATGCACTGGTTAAGACATTTATTAAAGAACAACCCATGATTTAACAGTGTAGACATTGCGTTATGTGAAGCATCGAGACATAAATAAAAGCTTACTTCTGGGAATAAAACAAAAAAAAAAGTTATTGGCCTACTACTAGGTAAACCAGTACTATAGTAAACAAACTATTTAGTACCAAATGTAAGCTACTGTTTAGTGTTCGATGGGCAAGACATGGCTATAGGTTTAAACCAATCAATTACAAATTTCTAGGGAAAAGAAAAACCATATTAACAGCCATCTTATTTCCTCAGGGCCTCCATTAGCGAGAAAACTTCTTCAGACCCCAATTAAACAAGTCGATTAAAGTTTAAGAACCGTGTTAAACTGTTTACGGACGACATGCAACACCATGATTAATAAGCATGCCTCAGAGAGTGATCACTGGGACAACAGCAAATGAACTGGTCCAAACTGAAATGAGAATCAAAGTCATGAATTACATGTTTTAGTGCTGGGGGGATGGGATGGAAGGGGAGGGCACCCCTGTGTTGTATCTATACTTTTTAATAACTAAGGTGTATGCATCATCAAATTGCTAAAGTTGGATTCATTTTCATTGCTTTTAAGTGTTTTTTATTTATTAATTAGTTAAAACCCAGGACAGAATTTGGGCAAAGTCTATAAGTAAACAAATACTGTAGAGCGGAGGTACCGGCGGGCAGCGCAGCATGTTGGACTGATGCCAGCTTGTAAATAGTTGTCAGTATCGCTTGTGTCATTATAAATGTGCTGTGTGTTATGTCATGTATAATCGTTAATGTTTATTGTTGTACGTATTGTGAGTGTGTGTGTGTGCGCCCACTGTGTGTGTGAGGAGTAAACGGGGCGACGTGCACGGTGGGCAGTGCGAGTGTGTGGGTTGCAGTAACTAATACGGGTGTAATAAACGCCATCTGGTGATTAAACCCCGAACTATCTCTGCTGTTTAATTGTTGCAAGAATGGTTCGACGGCCCACTAGTTCAATACTTTATTGTAAATATTAAACTGTGTGTGTGCGTGTGTGTGTGTGTGTGTGTGTGTGTGTGTGTGCGCGCACGCGCGCGCAAGTCAGCCTATTTGCTTGCCTGGCGCCGCTGAGTCACGTGAGAATCATCGCTAACACAGACAGCCGCAGTGCATTCAGGACAGAAATTGAAACTGAAATATCGATCTCATGACGCTGCCATACGCATGCGTGTTTCGATAGACAGGCAGTAGAAGCAGGGTACAAGGTCGCGCATGAACATGCTTTATTTCTGTCTGATTTTTGCGTTTCAAAATCATACTACAGAGGAAACCTCTGCTTTTCTCAGACATGTCCTGGAAATTGTAGCTTTTGTGGACGCTACGTCGCTACTTGATCAAATAAATAACGTAACTACTGGAGAGTTATTTGATTCAGAAATCAGCGACGCTACAGGCAAGCTACTACAAAATGTAGTTAAACTAATAGCTTCGCTATATGTAGCGGCGCTACCGCCCATCACTAGCATTACGATTAATCACCTGTCACATCAATGCGCAGATCCACGCTACGTATCATCCATATCATAACGCAATGTAAAATTGTTTCTCAGTGCCACCAAAATGAAAAGTATTACGCATGACAGTCAAAATGGTTAGATACACTTTATTACCAAAAATATTGGGACACCTGAATTCAATGATTTGGAGGGGTGTCCCAATATTTTTGGTAAGACCCAGATGGATAAAGCGGTATAGATAGGCTAATAGACAGTGTATATTGCCAGTATGTCAGTGCTCCTGAGCGCCACATTTCTGAATGAGTCGTTTCCCACTTACTCATTGTCACTGACCGATTGTTAGGTTCTTGTATTAAATTGGAACTATTTTACATTGCGTTATGATATGGATGATATGTAGCGTGGATCTGAGCATTGATGTGACAGGTGAAATTCGATAGCGCTGCGGAACCTGAAAGCTGGTTCTGATTTATTGGGGGGGGGGGGGTTGCGGCAATAATCACCAAATTTCTCACAGACATATCTGGTCATAAAGACTTTCACCTAACAAAAAATCAAATGCAAAATATTAGGAATATGCACTTTATCTCACGTTAAGCATTTTCCTCTCCATTGACGCCCATTATAAGAACAAAGAAAACATTAAAAAAACAATAATAAATAAATTCAATGGACTGTAAGGTGTTCTTTAATTATTATTTGCAGACGCCCTCTTCTTCTTACGGGAACCTCTGTGTAGGAAACACCCTTGGTCGGTACCCAAATTGACGTCCATCCAATCGCCGTCCTCGTTTAATTACACTGTTTAACAAAAATTTACCTCAGGGACATCCCTCTTAAGGGTCCAACAATAGTCAGCTAACATACTTGGGCTCCACCTGCCTTGGTACCGTTTTTCCATTTGGGAAATATCCTGATGGAACCGTTCACCATGCTCATCACTGACAGCTCCAATGTTGGCTGGGAAGAAATCCAAATGTGAGCGGAAGAAATGTATCATTAGTGACGTATTACACCCCAAGGTCATGTACGACTTCAACAGATCATCAACTATTTCTTGGTAGTTGACTACTTTATAATTTCCTAAGAAGTTCTGACAAACGCTCTTGAAAGACTCCCACGCCGCCTTTTCAGTCGGGTTCAACTGACAATCAAAATTCTGTTTTTTAATTAGTTCCCTAATTTAAGGTCCTACAAAGATCCCTTCCTTGATTTGTGCATCACTGATCCGGGCAAATTTCTGTCTTAAGTACGTAAATCCAAGTCCACTTCGATCCATCGCTTTAACAAAGTTCTTCATTAGACCAAGCTTTATATGGAGTGGATGGAGAAATACTGTTGTCGGATCAGCAAGTCGCGTTTTAACAACATTATTGTTCCCTGGAGTTAGTGACGTTTGCTGTGGCCACTATTTCTTCATGTAATGATTTATGTAGGCCTAATGATTTATGCGATCTGTGACGTGGATATAGTTCTGAAGATCCTGTTTTTGTGAGGCTGACTCAATTCAGGTTCTCGCTTAATATTCAAGTCTAGACTAAAAACACACTTACAGGGACTTTAGTTCTAGCTCTAGCTAACTGCTCACTCCCAGTTAGACCTATAGTGTGAGGTGTAGAGCTGGGTGGGGATCGGTGCCATTGGCTTTGGATGAACTGAACTGTCAGCGCTGTCACTCTAGCTTCACACCCCCTTGTGGATTGGAGTGCTGACATTTCAGGGACCCCCCATGCCTGCATTCCCACCTGCCTCTCCCTCCTACTTATGCTGCCACAGCCTTATCTGCCGGAGCTTACATATTGCACTCACCTAACCATTTGTATTGCTTTGGCTAATTACACTTTTTATTTCCCCTACTCCTCCAGGGGTGTGCTACCTGGAGCTCCAGAAATTTTTCATAGGGGTGGCCAGATGGGGCCACTGAAAATCTTAGGGTGGCACCAAAACCAAAAGCCGAGCTGAATTTCAGGCATTCTGTGATGCTGTTGTAGTATATAGCTAGTTGAAAACTATGAGAAAGATTTAAGGGATCGCCTACTGATATACTATGGTTTCTTGTGTTACATTTAATGTTCCAGTGATCACATGTGCATAGACTTACAATTACATTGTACAAATAACATTTTGAGTTCCACAATAATCCTGTTTTAATGTGTTATGTATATGTGTAATTCAATTAATTGTTTTGTTACTGGGAACAAGCTTGACCAAGTTTAAAAACACCACACTAGTCTCCAATTATGTTCAGTGTAGCTTTGACTTATTTGACTGTTGCTGCATCGTTATCTATACTAAAATGTTACATATAATATTCCCAAAAATGAAAAATAAAATAAAAAGGCATTACATGTACATTTGTATATTTTATTATAGCCCCCTGGCAAACAAACTGAAATACAGTAATCAAATACAGGCTACACACTCAATACAGTTTTATTCGCCTGTTGCTGTGCTTTTTTGCAAACAAATCTACATGCCAAAAAGCAAGTTAAGCAGCATACAGCACCAGCTAACAATTGGCAATTAAATTTGGCACTAAAAAAACACGTCACTCCAGCCGCCAAAGTTTACTGAATAAATAATTTCCACTCTTCTTTTTAGAAGTGTGTAATTCGTGTGTAATTCGAGAGCGCCTTGCTGACCGTGCATTTGTTGAAATGCATAATCGAACATAGACCTGGAGTCCCCAAATTTTCAAGATATCCTGCCTACCCCACTGCCTGCAACTACATGCAACGCCCTTTTGCCTGTGATGACTTCCCTGTATGCCCTTCTGCCTGTGATGACTTCCCTGTATGCCCTGCTGCCGTACTACTGTTCACCCCACCATCTGAAGCAGCTTCACCACTTGCCTGTCATCACCTCCCTGCTCCCCACTTTGTGTCTCAAATGTTAAGACTGGGAAAATGTGAATTGGAACTTTGACGTCCCCTGCTATCTTCAGGAGGATGGGCTCCCCCTCTGAGTCTGGTTGTGTTGCAAAGTATTCTTTCCCAATCAAAATGCCACATGTACTGATTCAGCTTGAACACATTAGACATTTGGGGTAGTTGGTACATGCAACGACTAAAAGATCAGGTGACTTTTGGCACTTAGTGTGAAACCACCGCCTACAAATGACACAAAATGTTCTGATCCTTGTACTCTGGATCTCCCTTACTGTCACGCCCCGCATGCCTTTTGCCCCTGTGTTCCCTGTGGTGTGGCACTAACGAGCCACACCTGTTCCTTGTTTAACCCTGTCCCTTGTTTCAGCCCTCATGTGGATGATCCCAGGTGCCTCTCGTCTGCTCCCTCATCTGTGGTGTATATAATGCTTTCTTGTCCTAAGCTCCCCAGTCTGGTCATTGTGTTGTTACATTGTAATATTATACTGCTGACTGCACCCTGTGTTTTTCCACCGTTCTCCCTGCCTAGTTTTGACCCTTTGCGTTCCATTTCCTTTAGCCTTACTTGTTGTGTTTTACTTTAAATAACGCCCCTTGGTTTCCGCCCACGCCTGCCTTCACCTCTTTGCTTCCCTCACCGTGACCCTTACATTTTGGTGAATAGCACAGGGTCCAGTTCTTAGTGTGTTTGTGATTTAGCTTTCACCCTTGCAAGGTGGAGTTGTACTTTCTTTTTCTCATAGACACAACCTTCATCTCTGCAACATATGACTGCACCTTTCTCCTGTGGCATAACAGTTTTTTTTTTGTGAGAGGCCTGATCGTCTGGTTTTTACTGGCTTGCCGTCTTCAACTAGGGAGTGAATCCAAAACCTGGCTTCATGGTTGTCAGCTGACCCTATTGGTGAGTTGCTGATTGAGCAGGCATACACAATGGCAGAAATATCACAGTCATAACCATTTGCTTGTTGCGGGACATTTGTGACATCCGTAACTGTCCAGTCGGATGCCTGAAAATTTTCTCCAGCTGCCATGTAAATGCAAGCCGCAACTTTCAGGAGAGTTCAACTTGTGGTTCTTGCCATTTCTGAACTGTGGATTGAACTGAATATGAAAATGTCCAGTTCTGTGAAACAGGGTTCTTGCAGGTTTCAGTAAGTTAAATTTAAGACCTTTTAAGACCATTATGAGTAAAATTTAAGACCTACGCAATGCATTACTAGAAACATTCGAATGATACCAGAAATTCTCATATTTTATTTCACTCATATCCTTAGCCCAACATCCACATATCATATGTGTTTACAAAGTGCTTTTTAATAAATTCACATGTGTTTAAAGCATGTGGGAGTGGTATTTTAAGGCTTAAACTATAAAAAAGTATGTATATGGTCTTTCTATATTGCGGATTTTCACCAATCACTGATGGGTCTGGAACGTAACTTCCACGATAGGGATCCAGACCCATCAGCGATAGGTGAAAATCCGCGATATAGAAAGACCATATACATAAACTTTTTTTATAATTTAAGCCTTAAAATATATAGTGATCCCCGCCTATCTGAATTAACCTCAAACTCTCATTTTATCTAAATATCTAACACCTCAAAGCATACTTGAACATTTACGCACAATATAATGTATACACAAATTAATCACACATAGAAATTCGGTAAAATTATTAAACTTACGACGTATTCTTTTACAAGCTCTTGGTGGTCTTCGCTGAAGTACACGCACAAGGCTTTGAGGATACATTCCCTTTGAACATCTATTGAGTTGTTCTATAAATCAAGACAATATTGCTTTTTATATACTGTATATGTGAACTATTACTCTCTTGAGTCAACCAAAAAGAAAAACATAATACAACTAGGAATTTGTGTAAACCACTTTCTATGATCCTATAAAAATAATTTCAGTTGAAGAATCAACAAGGTGTAATTGCTACTAACCTGAGAAGCCCTCCAATACCCTTTTTATTTTTCTTCCACAAACTCCTCCCTTGCTCCCAAAAATTGTCATTAATTTGTCTGTTGCTTTGTCAAGACCTGCAAAGAAACTTGACTGCAGTCGTAATCTGGAAGAACTCTGCAGAATAAACACGATAAGGTAAAAGAAAATTAGACATTACTGCCCTAAAGGTGGAGATGCACCAATACCAGTTTTTTGAGAGCAAGTACAGCTACAGAGGACTGCAAGTACACACTGATAAGTAACAATACTAAATAAATTTGTGGTTCTGAGTCCCTACAATCACCCTAACTATAGCCCTCTAACTGTAATTGTATCCCTGTCTCCACATGCCAAATGAACACAACTACATCATAGCTACCATTGTAGCAGTTATAAGAAATTTGGGTTGAGTACAATTACCAGCACGTGAGCATCTAATCACACCAAAACCCTCAACTTATATAAGTGCAACTCTAACTAAAGGGTTTAAAAATGTAAGTAAATGTAAAGTTTTATTTAAAAAATACACTAAAATGTTTCTAATCTTGGTCTTGTAGTACCCCTGCACTGCACACTTGAGGTCTCTACACACTCTTTTACTCATGAGGGTCTTGTTAATTAGATGGGCTACCTATCTAAAGTCCAAGTCAAGTCTAATGGCTGTAATGAGCATTCTTTTGTCGACTATCCGATTGCTTACATTATGTACGGCTGACGTTAAGCGAATGAATACATGAAAGACAGACATTCAGCTCATCAGACGTTTCCTTGTAATTTATGCACTAAAATAAATCAATATGAATTTAAAAAAATAAAAATTATGAAATAATGGTTGTATTTTCGAATCCAAGGTATCGTTAGCCTGCTAGCGACTGTTAGCACGTTAGAAAAATAATGTGCATCAAATCCTAGCAAATCAGCTAACTGTTAAAACAGCTTAATGAGTAAAGGAAACATAAATACTGATATATAATTAGCGACTTGGGTACCTACATTCGTAACGAAGCACAAAATACTCCCGCTCACTCCAGTCAACCGCGAAATCCGCCTAAAAATGAAAATGGCACCTGCTTCCGCTGTAAAATTTCGCAAATCCGGTTAGGGATGCGCATGCGTAGTAGAAAAACAATCATTTTTTTTAATCAAATTGATTATTTAAAACCAACATAAAATTATTGTGTTTAAACAAACTTCCACAGATTTATGTTCAACTGTCATAAAGTATTTATGTACAACACACCAACTTATGTTTTTTAATTAATCTCAATTAAATGTATATGGTTAATTTGAACAGACCTCAAATTCATTTTTTTGAGTGTGGCCATACACAGAACAGAGTCCAACACCTTAGCTTAACCTATGTAGCCTGTGATGGCCCACTCAATAGCTTCCTCATTGAGCCAGGTAAACCTGTTGAATTTTATTAATGGAAAACAATGGCCAGTGACTTTGCTGCTTGATTGTATATAGTTGTACTGTATGTAAGTTAGGTTTTGTGAGTTTCTTTCTTGTATATGTTGTGGTATTTTAATCAGTTAAGTAAAAAAAGAATTACAAAAGTATTTCTTTACAATATATATTATATAGGCTATGACGGTGGGCTGCTAATAACATAATAACATTTAATATAACAGTAATATATGATAACTATTAGAAATGGCACTGAAAAAATATTAATCTGAAGTGGCTGCAAAGAAAAGGTGAGTCTTTATGACCAGATATGTCTGTGAGAAATTTGGTGATTATTAATCGCTGTAAATCAAATCCAAAATATTAGGAATATGCTCTTAGCTCACGTTAAGCATTTTCCTCTCCGTTGACGCCCATTCTAAGAAAAACAAAGCATTGAAAAAGACTCATAAAGAAGTGCAATGGACTGTAAGGTGTTCATATATTTCGTTTATTATTATTATTATTATTATTATTATTATTATTATTATTATTATTTGCAGACGCCCTCTTCTTACGGGAACCAGCTGAGTATAGGAAACTCACTGGACTTGTGCCAAGCTCCAGTCGGTACCCAAACCGACGTCCATCCAATCGCCGTCCTCCTTTAATTAGCCTATTGATCGACTGCACAGGAGGTGGCCAATGTAGCAGACGCCTATAAACTAACGTGCTGGATAAGCAGTTTTTTAGTAGGCAAAGAAGGGGCGAAGGTTGTTGTTCTATATTAGGGTGACCAGATAATCCATGTCAGGGAGGACACTCTGAGCTAGGACAGGAATTGTAAATTACCATTTCAA